AAACACTTAATTTACCTCAGCTCATTTGTTCTTTCAAGATGGGATGAAGCTCAGGTTACAATTTGCACAGGTAACCTGAGTAGTAAAAGTGCCTAATTTAAATAAATAATTGTTTAATGACAAAAGTAGAAGTGGGAATATACTCTTTCATGAAAATCTCAAAAATAAAATGTAAATGAAACATAAAGTCCTAATACATAAAAAATATGTATTTTACAGTTTCTTACATTTACATATTAACAACATATTTATTGAATATTAATATATATTACATGTAATTAAATAGATATTTTTAGTAGTGTATGGATTCCAGTCTTTAATTTATTTAACCAACGATCTACAGGCCTATAACCGTGAATTAATCAATAAGTCAAAATAACTCTGAAACAGCACAGGATATGGTTTTTAGAATGTTGTGATAAAATACCGCCACCTAGTGGCTTCCTTTGCTTAAAGCAGGATGTAGACCTGCGCTTTGAAGAATTTCCTCTCATAAGAAAAATGAGAGATAATTATCACTCCTACTTCTTCTTCTTCTTTTTTTTTTTTTTTAGTATTTTAGGTGAGCAAATACTGGAAAGGACATGCTGGAGAGCAGCAAATAACTGGTCTGTATTATTTATGTCTGAATGTTGTGATATTTGAAAAGCAACCCATCATATTTCTGACTATAACAACAGAAAGAATGATATTTTACGTGGTTTGATAATTATTTTTTTAATTAAATCTTGAGGAAAAGGAATCAGGATGTGTCTGCATTAAAACAGGTGTATAGATTCAGTCACCCTTCACCCTTTGTCCAGGACCTTGATTTATAAATAAACTGCAAAACCAGTCTCAGAAGCAGGATTTCTGTCTGAACTGTGCTTCATAATCATCATATAAATCTGTGGTTAAGTTGTTTTTCTTATAACTATTTCCTTTCACTCAACATTCTGTAAGTAAACTTTGACATTATAGTCTGTGAATTGCCATCTTCTTTTGCAATCCACTGGAGCTGGGGTTTGCACCAACAACCCTCCATTTGCAGGAAAACATTAGGCCTCTCTCTGGTAGAACTTTGGTTTTAAAATAACAGAATATTGTACAAAGTTCAAAATGTAATGACAATCTTCTCTCGATTATTGTCATTGGACTCACAGTCACCTAATAAACTGTCTGCTTTTATAAAGTTTCCATAAAACATTTTTAACAAGCTAGTATGAAATGGATCAGTTTGTAGTTTGGTTGCTCTTACTTTAATTCTCATTTTTCTGAATTAGGATTAGTTTTATCTGTTAACTTTAACTAGATATGTTTTAAGAAACTTCTTAAGGATATGGCAAAAGGTTTTCATTATTTTATTCTTTACATTTCCCATAATTTCCTCATGAACCAGTAGACTTATTTGCGCAGCATGTTCAAATAAATGATTAAATACATATTAGCAATTTAAAATAATATATAATGTGTCCTTTTATCTAAATATTAAATACAGTTATTTTCATCCTATTCTCTTTTAAAGTTAGGTATTTGGCGCTCTCCAGCTTTTCTACTCATTACTTTGTGTGTCAACCATCTGTCTCTCACAAAAATACATTTCCGTATCCTTTTTTTTTTTATCCTCTCTATCCTTTTCTAAAGATCCTATTAATAAGGGATGTACCCATACAACTTTGTCATTTCTGATACGATATGCTTTGAGTATTATCCGAAACTGATATTGACCTAGTACGATATCAGAACAAATCATAGTTACTTTTATTACTCATTTTGTAGAGTAATATTAGAAAAGGCTTGATCAAGTGATATTACTCAAACAGAGAATAACAGATGACCAAATAGGTAAGAAAGTCTTGAACCATTTATTATTAACTAATTGGGTGCCTAAAATTAAAACTAGGGCATGCAAATATCAGAGATTATAGATGCAGGACGATATATTTGCTTTTTAGCTGATATTGGTCTGATATTGGATAAAAACATCTCCACTAATAGCCATGGGTTTATTTCCTTCTTATTCCATATCATCACTGAAGAAAATGGGAATTTTGTAGCACATTCTGGGTTCTAACCCAAATTCTTTATTTTTTTAGCACAAAAACATCAGAGGATTAATATAAATTCTGTTGCTTTTGTATACTTTATAACCATATGTTTTTTTTTCTTTTTTTTCAAATTAACATTCTGTTAAACACATCTAACAATGAAAAGTCAGCTTCTTGACGGACGTTCCAATGGTGGCTTATATCCACTTTTAAGTGATCAGTGCTCCTACAGCTTTGACTTCAGCTGCAGTTTTCTGCTTACAAATTGCTACAAAGACCGCAGATATCCCTGCTGTATGTACAAGTTTCTCCAAAAAAAGTGAACATTTCTCAACATAAGTGAGTTTGATCTTATTTGAAAAGACAAATAATATGATCTACCACAGAATTAGCATTTTTTGTTCTTAGCTCTTAAAAAAAGCTAGATTGTATCCACTTGAAATAAGATAATGATGTTTTTTCTTTTTATTTTAATAATAAATCATCTTAGTCCATCTGTATTTTTTATTTTTTTTTTGCATCTCTTTAGATCAAGGAAAAATAAACTTTAAGAGAGACTTGTTTGCAGCACATGGGGCCATAACAGGGGCCAAGGCCAGTTTTACAGGAGCACTGGCCCCTGTTGGCTCCTGTCTAGCACCGACCATGAGCTATTTCTCAATTTTCGGTTATATCTTAGAATTTAAATAAATTAGTTTACTTGTTATTTAGAGTATGTTTTTGGTTAGTGATTCACTTAATTGGTTAATTAATTCTAGTTTGGGACCTGGGTGTTTCACAGTATAAATCGGTAGGTTGTAGGTTGCTCATTATTCACATGGGTGGTCATATGGTTTTTTTCCAGTTCCAGTCATCCAGTTTATCATCAGTTGTCAGTCTGAAGATCAATCAGTCAAAGAACAGGTGTAGGAAACAGAGTATTCCTTGTTTTATTCTACTAAAAATTGGAATAAAACAATCAAAGAACTGCATTTTGACCCTTTTCGACTGCTTAAGCAATAACCTACGCTGTATTAGGTGACTGAGTTAAATTCACCTTTTGCTTTGTTTTTCTTTACATCTTAAGTTTTTTTTATATATTTTAGTTTGAGTTGTGTACAAATAGTCAATACAACTTGGATGCAGCATCTTTAGCATTGTTGTATTATTCTTCTATTCTCTGGTTATTCTGCAGTATTGCATTGGAGTCAAATGCTGTGTTCCGCAGAAAGAACAAAAATAAATGATATAATTCATATAATTTACGCTCAGAAATAATTTAGCCAAAGTTGTTTAATAGGCTTAAAATCCAGTCTCTGTTATATAGTTTTCAGACCACTTACAACCACTGCTTTCAATGGCGGAACGACACAACAAAAGGCCCGTAAGCAACATTACCTGGATGGGCCCCATATACTGCCGCTGCCGTACACAAGCTACCCGAAATGTGCCCCATACATACACACTTCATAATTTCATCATTCTTATCCTTCACTCGGCATGGATATACTTTAGTATATTCCGCTGTAAAGTTAGTCTTATTGAGTTACCATGAGATTCACGGCCCCCTTTCCACCCACGCTCTCTCCATTCATCTCCTGGTTGCAATCTTCACTCACTGTAGCAGCAAACATCTTCCCCTCTTTGGTTCTTTGAAAGAACGTGTTTATTTTTGGAAGTTTTTTTTCCGTTCTTCCAGCAGCCCTTCTTTGCTTTTTCTTTTCTGGAATCCATCATCGCTAACACATTGTACGTGACAGTTATGGATATAACCTACACTACCTATGGATTACCCATAATTCCAAGTTGTAGTGTAAAACTTAAAATACTCAAATACCTTGTTCTTTTAAGATCTTTATTGCGGTTTGAAACATATTATATGAGTGTATTTTTTTACCAACTGTCTAATGAACTATACACAGTTATTAACATGGTAATTAAAAGTACAACTGTCTGCTTTGCTATTGGTGTCGTGTTCAAACGGCTCACCATAATGTTGAAATCTGCAATCCCTTAGCAAAAAGTAGTTTATTCAAGTATACTAAAAGTGCATCAATTTCATACTTGAAATCAGGCAGTGTGCTTAGAGTTTACTTATTCTAAACTATATTTCATATACTTAACAATAGTATAGTCAAGTGTACTTGACTAATACTTCTTCAAACTAAATTGGGACATTTTTAAGTTTCCTAAAGTATACTTTAAGTATACTTTAGTAAACAATAAAGTAAACAATAGTATAGTCAAGCGTACTTGACTATACTATTGTTAAGTATATAAAATATAACTTTGGCAAAGAGTAGTATACTTGAAGTAAATTCTTTTAAGAATACTTAAGTATAAGTATAGTTTAGAAAGTATACCGAACAATGTACTTTTAGTGTACTTGAAGTATTACCAAAGTAATACTTCTTAGAACTAAATTGGGACATTTTTAACAATAAAGCAAACAATAGTATAGTTTAGTTCACTTGTATATGCAATATAGTTTAGAATAAGTAAACTCTAAATGCACTGCCTGATTTTAAATATGAAATTAGTGTACTTTTAGTACACTTGAATAAACTACTTTTTGCTAAGCAACTGCACTCTCTGCTTAGTTACGCCATTGACTGCTTTGGTTTAGATCAGATGTTATTGCATTAACAACATTAAATTAGTTTGCACGTCTGGTTTAATAAAATCAGAAGTGTTCCCGATAATTGCATGGGAATGACATTTCTTAATTTCTCCTTTTATTAGTCTTATGTAAATATTTTCTTAGATCTAATTAAATAAACGAGAAGAGCTTGTAATAAATAAATCCCTGCTGTTTAGTGGAGCAGTAATAAGAATAGTTTGACTCTGGGATTAAGTGTCTGGCATTAATAATTCTGCATGCTATTCTGATGTAGTGAGCTGTACAGAGCGTCCTGACGGGATGCATGTTTTGTGTCATGCAGTGTGCAGCCTATAGGCCAGCTCTGATGCTGCTGCGCTCTGTGAGGAATCAAAGCGCAGGCGTGGAGTCAGGGAGCCTATCTGGCGCAGACAGAGCTTTACTGTACATGGTCACTGATACCGCTGTGAATGGATGTAGTCTAAGTCAGAATGGCGAAGACAGCACATATAACACATCGAGTTATATCTGCTTGACATCATCTTCAGGCATCATCGGGATTTTTCTTTGCATCTTTAATAAAAGACGCTCCTCATTCAGCCGCATCTCGCCTTGACAGCTCGCACCGATGCTTTTCATTTGACACAAAGCAGACGGGCGGCTTTCACCTAATAAAACAGTCGGGAAGGAAAAGCGGCTCATTATGACCTTAGTATCCGCAAGTAAAAGGAAACCACCGGATTGCTTTTACGCGGCAGCGCTCTGCTTGCATCTCTTGCTTTGGATTTCGGTGTCCGGAGAAGAGCAGCATCAGTTCAGCGTTGAGGTAAGATTTTTTTTTTTTTGGTCCACGGCCTTCCCTCCTCCTCCTCTCCTCAGCATCATCTGCATCTGCGCGCAAAACAACACACAGGCAGGCTGAATCTGGACGATCACATCTAAGGCATTATTGTTAACTGCAGAAAGAGGTTCCCTCCTTTAGACTGAAGCAGCTCAAATTTTTTATCATTGTAATGCTTGAATCAAATATGCTTGTTTTCACGTTGAATATGTCATTTTGATGACAGGTCATCATGAGGTGAGCAAGAGAGATGTTTCATTGTTTGGATAGATTAAGCATTTCAGTTGCATAATAGGATTTGCTAGTTTGTACCTGATTAATTGATGTCATTTCTATCCTAACACCCCCCCCCCCCCCCCCCCCCCCCCACACACACACACACACACACACACTCTGGATAAATTGAATGCTGAAGCTGACAGTAACACACGCGTCATTATTCAATTTAATGGCTCAATCTACCCAGTATCTGCCAAAAATCACTGTCTGCAGACCAAACACGAGCAACATAGGAAACGACAGGATAAACAGGAGATCTAGATGAGCAGAGAAGGAACGATTAGGGAGGAAAAGAGGGCAGGAGCAGGAGAAAGCTAAAAGCTGCAGATAAGGTGGGCACAGCTGGACCTTATGTGTTCAGGTTTGGAGGTCTGGTGATGCTCTTTTATCTGCATCAAGTCCCAGTTTGGATTTGTAGAGGATGGAAATGGGACTGGGCCGCAGTCCTTTACATGCAGACACAGCGACCGGAAGCTGTAAAAACAAAAACACTGACTGCTGTCACCATCACTGCTTGTTTGCTTTCTCAGATTCAGATCCAAAGCCCTGCTGCCCTAACAATGCACATTTTCAATGATGCTGACATGCATTCCATGCTCACTGTAGATGTTTGATTTTTTAAAAAAAAAAGGTTAGATGATAAATAATAGCCTGTGCAGGGTGTTGGTGGGTATGACATTCTCACTGTCAAACCCCAGTGCTAATTATTTAGATAATACAGAACTTAAATTAAAATATCTAACCCCAAATAATGAGATTCTTCACTAAACAGTAGGGTTGTCAAAAGTATCGATACTCAAAAAAGTATCGATACTAAAATGTTGTATCCGGATACAATACTCATTTTCAAAAGTATCGAGTACCAGTCGCACCTAAACAGTCATTCATCTAAAGTGCAGAATAGAGGAAAATGCACTTTCTGAACACTGTGTGATTGAATAATTCTGTGCACTTTTCAGTTTCAGACTTTTTTGTAACAGTTGCAGCTGCTGAGAATTATTTTTGTTTCTTAACCGGTTTGGCTAGTGTCATTATGTGTGCAAAGCATAGCCAAGTAAGGAAAACTTAATTTTAATTTTGTAAGTTTTTATCAAGCTTGCTTTATACGGTGCACAGCAAACAACCTCAAAATGTTGTTCTTATTGTTTATTGTATTTATTTATTTATTGTATTTCAATTATTAATCAAAATATTTCTGTTGAAATTTTATCCTTGTGGTATCAAAAATGGTATCGAGTATCAAATATTTTCCTTAGTATCGGTATCGAGTTGAAAAGTTTAGTATCGTGACAACCCTACTAAACAGAGAATAAACATCATCGTCTGGCAATCTAGAGTATTCTCACCGTTACAGTTTTTTTCCCCACATTACTTTATGAGATGGTAAGTGACTAATGCCAAACAACAAAAGCAAATTGTACTTTACTTTAAACACACAGGACTGCTGTCATTTGAAGACATGTTACTAGACAGATATATCTAATTTACATACAGACATGTTTAATCAGATAATTCCAGTCATATATAAACAGATCATAGTTCTTACATTCCAATTCAAGCCAAGCTATGTTGAACTGCAGCTGACAGTGAGTATATAATGCTGGTTGGTAAGAACTTTCCATTTAGTTTCTTTATAAAAAATCACTTTCTTAAGTTGAGCTCAGACTCACTGATTTCCAATGAGATGCTTCTGCAACGGAGGCCAATCTAGCTTAATGCAGTGGACTCACCTACACTAATCACATCTTGCTTGAATTGTGACAGAGAGCATGGTGGTGGCAGCATTATGCTTGGGTGAGGCTTTTTAACTGCAGAAACTGGCAGAAAGGTCAAGTTTTCCAACAATGAAACTGGAAGCAGACAGCCGTGGCAACAGAGGAATGTTTTTAGGAGCTGTTTGTTGTCTTTGAGCTCAGAGAAACATCATGCAGAGCTTCAGATAAATGTGTCACGTTATATGCTCAGGGGTGGGGGGTTCACTGCAGATAAGTTCTTGTTGGTGCTGTTGCTTTGCAGCACAAAGTTTTGGGTTTGATTCCAAACCTGTAATCTTTCTGCATGATGTATGCATGTTCTCCTGACGCAGTGTCCACAATCCGGTGCTACTATATAAGCTCCTGTAACAGAATAGCAACCTGACCAGGGTGTTCTAGAGCTTGTCTTGTTTTGATGGAACTAGCAAACTCTCCTCTGAAGAGCAACCTGCATAGAAAAGCAGGTTTAGACAATGGATGGAAATCTGCTCTGGTGTCCAGGCCACATTTAATTATGGGACCAATAAGGTTGGAAATGGGCTGAAAATTGGGTCATATAAGGGACTGTTCATTGGTTACATTTTAATCACCTGTATAGGTTTTAGCCAGGACAACTATGATTAAAAAACCTAAATGGTTTACTTAATTTAAACAGATTTAAGACCCAACTAAGACATTTATAACTGGTTTTACTTGTATATTTTATGTACTGAGTAAATTGGGTTCTAAACTAGACAGTCTTGTATCCCAGGCGTATCTTATACTCATTGAAATGGGAAAAAAGTAGGATACAACAAAAAATAAACATACAGATACAGATATTTGCCAGTTAGTTGCAATAAGCCTAGAATTGTCAAAATGTCTTTTTATAACCTTATTAAAAGTAACAAGCAACCCTCCATAAGTTCCAACATCATTGCCCAAATTATCCTAAATATTTCAAAAAAAAACTGCTTCATATGGATGCATAATTTAAAGGACTTGAAACTGTAGCTACATTATGAAATTTAACAGCCTGAAAACATTTTTTGAACCTCTACGTACCTTGATGCTGGTACTTAGCCGATGCCTACAGTAATTGAAAACTAGGTGAAAACAAAAACATTGGCTGATAAATGAGAAAAAGAGTTAATCAAATCAAGCCAAGTTTGCTTGCATTACATGTGGATAGACATCTAACCTAAAATATCTATGTTTTCCTGGGCTGTATAACAAGAGGATTGGACAACCTGAAACAGTATTTAAAAAGTGATTAGAAGAAGGTCTCTGCTTCAATACATAAAAAACCTGCATATTTACTATTTTTATCTGGATCATGATGGATATCTCTCTTCATTAATGTCCTTCTAGCAGAAACTTTAGGTAAAGTCTACCAACAAAGATTTAAGGAACTTTGTAGAGAGCTGAATGTAGGCAAAGGAAGTACCCATTATAATTTGGAGCAGATCCAGGTCACTTAATATATTAAACCATCTGGACATCTTTTGCACAAAGTGCTTGGCTAATCTACGGTGAGGCTGGAAGAGAAGAATGGATCTAAAGGAATGCAGATTTTTACCAATATCTTTTCCTGTTTATTAGGTTTTTTTCTAATTATGTTCAGTTTTGTATTCCTAGTTTAAAAGTTAACTCTGGGAGTAAAACAATGAGTGATTGCAAGGCAATATAGGAAAGTCAAAAAAAAAAGCATATTTTTCTTTAAAGCAATGGTTCCAAAACTTTCCAGATTATCAACAATACTACCATACATAAGAAATAATGTGCCAGAAGACTTCATTTAACAAGAATTTACTAGTTATCCAGTTTTAAAAACATCATATACTAACATGTATAATCTTTTAGCAAACACTTTATCTCTTGTGAGGAATTGGAGCATGACTACAATTAAGATATATAAGTAAGGATATGTTATTTATGTTTATCTTAGTGTAAATCGTTTTTTCAAATTTTATTTTCCATAAACTCAAAATTGCTTTGGAGGAATACCTCTAGTCTGTGTTTACATTTCATAATTAACATGAACAGAATGTCTGAAATAAAGATGTCTCTAACTAACAAATTTACTTCCATTTGAGATAAAAGTAGCTTCAGAATTTGTTATGAATATTCTTTCTGATTTAATGCGTCTAATCTGCAAAATCCAAGTGTCGTATGAATTAGGATTATATTTTTGATTGTACTCCTTGCAGGGATGGCTACAGAGGTATGGATATCTTCCCCACACAGAACCAGGAATGTCTGTCCTGCGCTCGGCCAAAACCATGCAGTCAGCCATTGCTGCCATGCAGCGCATCTATGGTCTCAATGTCACAGGGACGCTGGATGAGACAACCAAGGAGTAAGTGGACCCACGATGAACTAGTGATAAACAGTAGTGCCTTCATTTAGCATCCATCAATCCATCCATCCATCCATCCATCCATCCATCCATCCATCCATCCATCCATCCATCCATCCATCCATCCATCCATCCATCCATCCATCCATCCATCCATCCATCCATCCATCCATCCATATACAGGTGAACAGGAATAAGAATTTTGGAAATTTGAATCTTAAATGCTGAGGAACCAACTAGAACCATAATATTAATACAGCGGTGGGCATTTCCAGTTTCTGAGGGTTGATATCTTGAGACTTTTAGATTGCCTCTTGGTCCAGAGCACACCTGAAACAAATGACTGTATTACCTCCTCTGCATGCCATTAATTTCTCTAGTGTCCTCTTAATCATGTAATCACTTGATTCAGGTTTGTTGGACCTAAGACATATCTAAAACTTGCAGGATATTGACCCTTAGGTAATGGAATTTCCCACCTCTTTACTTAATGGGTTGATGAAAGACAGATACAAATTTTTATTAATCCCCCCTGCACCGATAACCTCACCTGAAATCACTCCAGGTGAAGGTTTTAACACTTTTCCCTCTTCTCGTTTTGCATGATCATGCAGTGATATCACTCTAAGGTGAGAACTAATGTTTTTGCCTTTATATTGTGTTTGTTCAGTAGTTGTGACAAATGGCGTTGTACGAATGAGAAGAAATTAGTTTTAGAAGTAGTTTAGAAGTTTTTCTGCATCTATTTGTTTCTTGTTTCTTGTATTTTATTTTTATTTGTTTTGGCCGTTGTAATGAAGTGACCGAGAAGAGAACCGGAGAGTTCACTTCTACGCTTTGTGTTGTCACGCAGTCGAAGCTGTGAAGCAAAGATTTTGGATGCAAACGTAACATTTCCCTTTACGTTCTAGATGGATGCAAAAGCCACGCTGTGGGGTTCCAGATAAAATCAAAAGTGCCACAAGGTCACGGAGGAGGAGATACGCACTGACGGGGCAGAAGTGGCAGCGGACCCACATAACCTACAGGTGAGAGACAGGGACATTACTCATTATTAGTAGACACTGCAGGGCTCCTTGCAGGTTTACATTCCCTAGATGACATTTCATCAGAGTTTTAGTCTCACATTAAAACCCTTGACTGTATTTTTTTATGTCATACAGCTTTTTCATTTATTTAAGTACATATTTCTCCATATTTTTTATTCAACTTTTAATAATTCTTACATTTCTGTTAGCTCTTTTCTTTTCTTATCTAATTTCCACTTTCTATTTATCAGTTCTTACAGTTTTTAACCATCTGGGGTTTTAAGCTGCGAGTTGTCATAGAGACTGAGCAAATATGTCGGTTGTGTGGGGGGTATTCACACATGCACAAACTGACAGATTAACACCTAAATTTTGTGTTGTGTGAGTATGCTCTCCATTCAGTGTATAAATAGTGTGAGGCACAGTTAAAAATGAATTAGAATGTGTTTTGAACCGTTACATAATCTCTTTCCTTTTCATTAGGTTAAAGAAATTGTCTTCACTCTGATATATAAAAATTGGGAGTGCAAACTATTCACAATCTCAGCAGAAATAGACAAACCCTCATCTTATCTGCTATAATTAAGCTCTGGGTTTAATGGGCCTGAGGAGAACTGATAAACGGGTCTGCAGCACAACTGCAAATTGACAGGTTACGGCAGTAATAGATGATAACACTACCAATTTATTTAAATCCTTCTTTGCTTGCTCACTGAATTTGAATTGATGAGACACCTCTTCTAATGGAATGTCAATCAGTGCTGAGCCGCTGCTGCTGCCACCACTGCCCGAGCGTTATTCGTGAAAATGAGTGGATAGAGAGAGTGAGAGAGAGAGAGGAAGATGATTGCCCTCTTCCTCTCTGCCTGCCAGGGACTGATAACGACTGTTGTGTTAAAAGTTCACTGGAAGCTGCTGGTCTTGAAATAGTTGTGTCAAGTGTTACTTTTTTTTTGTCGCTTCATTCTAAAACCCAAGAAATGTTCACTCCACATTAATGAGATAAGAACTCAAGAGGGAGTAACGTGAAGTATTTTCTTCTAAATCCTGTTCCCAGCAGTTTCAAGCTTCCACCCCTCTGAAGCCTCCCCAAAATTATGTCCATGTTTTTCTCCCTGCAGCATAAAAAACATCACACCAAAGGTGGGTGCCCGAGAGACTCATGATGCCATACGGAGGGCATTTGATGTGTGGCAGGGTGTGACTCCTCTGCGTTTCGAGGCCGTTCCGTACAGCGCCCTGGAGACGGGCAGACGTGATGTGGACATCACCATTATCTTCGCCTCTGGCTTTCATGGTGACAGCTCGCCCTTCGATGGGGAGGGTGGATTCCTCGCCCATGCCTATTTTCCTGGGCCTGGCATAGGAGGGGACACCCACTTTGACTCAGATGAGCCTTGGACCCTTGGAAACCCCAACCATGATGGTGAGACGGGTTGTAAACCTGAATGACAAATACCTAGTTTACAAATAAAATACTTCAAAGTGTGACATGTTTTAGATGTAAATCTAATAAAGCATGCCTTTCAAACATTAGCACACTTCTTAATAGAGTCCATCTATGTATATTTTAATCTGAGCTTAAATACAGGTGATTTATGAAGGTCTTGGAGGTTTTTAGAAATTTTACTGTCTAATCAGCATAATGCAGAACAGAAGACGTAGTAAACAGGTTAGTGGGAACGTTGTGCAGAAGTTTGAATTTAATCTAAGATTTAAAAAAATAAACAAGGATTGAATGCCTCATGGATCACCTCATGAATGAATCCTTTGAAATGGAAACGTATGAGACAGCTGCAAATATACTTAGACATGGTCATCCACTTTGAGCTGAAAGGACCATGAGAGGAAAGCATTAATCAGAGAAGTAGCCATAGCAGCCACAATAGGAGAGCTACAGAAATACTCTGCTTAGGTAGGTGATTCCTTTGACAGGACGACTATTATTAACCATAATTAATAATATTTTTTCTATGAAAGACGTGAGAGTGGGGCAGAAGGTTCACCTGGCAGCAGTATAATGAAATCTGAAGTCTTTAGAAGTCTTTAGGTTTATGTTTTTGAATGGCCCAGTAGATAGAAGAATGTGATTATATAAATCATTGACTAAGGTGGACTGAATATAAATGCATGCCACACTTATCAGGATATGTATCTACTTACACGTTACAGTTTTGCTTTACTTTTTGTTACTATACCCCAATAAAACCTTCATAAGATACCCAAATATGTTGACTAAAAAAAAAAAAAAAAGTTATTCATTTTTATTACTAACATTCTTATTTTCTTCTTTTTTATTGTATTCTTTAAGTAATAATCCGTTAGAATGATAGATGGAAGAAAACAAGGAGTGGCCTAATCATTTTTTGCCCTGAATATATATAGGACAAGAAAAGAGGAGGAAACAGCAAAGAGACATACAACAAAACTGATGGAGAAATAAATAAACCCAAGTGAAAGAAGTGAGGAAAGCAAACAGGAAAAAATGCAGTCTTGTGGAGAGATGGATAAGAGCTGATGGATGCCAGATCAGGAAAGTACAGATGGCCGGGCTGGAGGGTGTTATGGGAACGACAGTATCTTAGGGCAGAGTGTGAGAGACGCTCAGCCAAAAACAAAGAACTCTAAGATGTGTTTGATGCGGTGCTGCTCTATAAAGACGCATCACCCCATCTGTCAGGACTTTGGTTTCTGTCAGCATAATACGCTCTTCAGATGACAGGATAGAGAAGAGTGCTATTTTAAGTCTTTTGCTTTTGCTGGCACATGATTTGGGTTTATTGAATTTCTGTAGCTCAGTGGTTGCAGTGGTGCAGCTAGGAGAGGAAAATAGCATCCGTATCTAAGGCATTCAACCAAACACTCCCTAATTACTCTACCTATGGGGTAGCAGGCTTGTGGAAGCACCACCAGGCGGCTTGTCTGTTATCAAACCACCATGCACCAACTCTCTCTCCTTTCATTAGAGAGGGAGGAGGGCTTTTGCTTCCATTGTGCTTGTTCAGGGATACCGCTTGCCACCCATCAGCTCTTTTCCTTCATACTCTCTTTTTGTTCTCTAATGGTAATAGTCTTAGACTCCTAAGTCAGAAGCACACTAGCCCCTGAGCAGCATCCCATAGTTATGCATTTAGACCACTGTGGCTAAAGGAAAAAAAAAAGTTCCAGTCTCAGCATGTGTGCCATGGAAGCTGAATTGTCTTTAATGGACTTTTGCAGCAGTGGAACTGTAAATGCTGCATTTTGACATTTGTGCTAATGGTAGCTTCAGTTTGCCTTAAGGGAATCCTCAAAGGTGGTTGGTTGCTGAGGATGGTTGGATGAGGTGAAAGGCGAAGAGGGGGGAGTGTAACCTTTTTGCTGCTGGCTGAGGGTCAGTGGTGGTTTTATGCAGCTCTTTTGACATGAGTGTATATCATCCTTGCAAAGGGCAACTATCTCTTCGGGACAGGTTCAGTAACTGTTTGTACATAGGAGTTTTAATTCCTCTTAAATCAGACTGACGAACTGGGTTGACCACATCCATTAGATGTTAAATTTTTACTTTTTAATTTGCGTTTGTTTTAAGAAATAAACCTGTGCTGGGCCGATATTCTCTGATGTTTAGGTGCTTAACATACATGTCCTTTGCAGAAACATGCATGTGTACCCTTCTGCTTTGGTCTTGCTGTTGTTCATGTCCTCATTTATGTTAAGAAAAAAAGAGGATCCTTCTGTTTCACTTCAGTCCCAATTTTTTATATATTTTTTTACTTGTAATGTTTTGTACTGTTTTTAATAGGAAAACTCAACCAGAGAAGGGAAATAATTATTGTCTTTCTGGCTTAATCCTTCAGGCTTTTGCTGCCTATATATTCTAATTAGTTCTCTGTTAAATCATTAAGTTAAACTAAATTTAGATTCACGACACTGTGCAGTATTTTTTAAAATACTCAGTTCGCAAAAGCAATAAAAAATGCTAAAGATACAAAATGCATGGGTGGAAAAAATGAACATTGATATTACATATTGATTGAGCCATGTTTGTATTAAAATGGTTCATCCTTTATCTGATTCATATTCTCCAAATGCACACAGACTTCACTGCAGACAGGAAGCAAGTCAAAATAAATCAATATGCATTCAAAGCAGACACAGAAGTAAATGTGTGTACGGCATCAGTAATACATTATATAGAAATAAAAGTAAATCCTAATGCACACAGTGGGTCTCATAAGCTGAAAGATACAGAGCCTTGTAGAAGTATTAATTTCCCTTGAGCTTTTCCTCATTACATGAACTTAAAGCATCAAACTTTATTCTATTTTCTTGGGTGGATATTTAATGAACCAGTGAAGAATTATTACATAAGATGGGGAAGAAAAACAAAGCATGTTTTCAAATGTTTTAGCTTATGAAAAAATTGTACCTGTATTTGCATTGAATCCCCTTTACATTATAACTGATACCCTGAAATAAAATCTAGTGCAGCCTTTTTCCTTTATCAATCATCTAAAGCTCTTAATACCTGTTTTTGATGCTTTAAAGAATTCAGCAAAGAGAGCAACAAAGCTGTAGGGCCCAACTGCTCAGACAGGAGCTTTAGTCATAGTCATCATCCCCATCCTGAAACATACATGTTGTAAGAGTGTTTTTCTTCAGCCTAAGTAGAGATTATTGTTTCATGGGTCAGTGGAAAGGTGGATGGAGCTAATTGCAGGGGAATCCTGATAGAGAGAGAGAGAGAGAGAGACACTCTACCACATATATTAGGGTAAAATTCACTAGTGTAAAAATATTAGAAAAGGTTCAACAACATGTGAGAGAGGGTTTACTACAAATGGATGCCAAACTTTTCAGATTATAATTATGTGTTGGAATTTATTTAAATAAGACTGGGTAAGCAACTCAATATCCATAGTTTGGTTTGAAATATATACATAATGGTATAAAAGAGTTTGCTGTGGTCTAGTGTTGTGGGAGCTGCCAGAGTTAGCCACACCCACTGACTAACGCCAGCTTACGTTTTCTCAGACGTTAACATTTTAGAACCCCAACTGCAGATGTAGAGGCTGGAGTTGCTCACCCAATGGGCTGTAAGTAAATAGCAACACATTTCAGAAGTTTTCCCAACTTTTCCAGCCATTGACCCATATAATTAATTATTTATTAAATAAATTTTATGTATTCATTTACAGTTTTAATAAAATGAATCACGCACAAGTTATTTATTTATTGGTGTCGTGGCACTCTTCACACTCCATAAAGATAGCCTAACAGATCATAATGCAAATTTGTTTCCATCATACTGAGTTTATTCATTTTGTGTTTATTCCACATATGGTTGAAATACTGTATGGCAGACAGTTGTCCAGTTACTTGGTGTGCCACTAAAACTTTATATTAGTCCATGTTTTTTATTTCTTTGTGTTGTCACATTCTGCCGAAATGCAACTATGTTCTCCAAAATTCATATCGTTAGTTAGATCTTCTCTTCCTTTTTATAGGCAATGACCTGTTCTTGGTTGCGGTGCATGAACTTGGCCACGCACTCGGTCTGGAGCACTCAAATGACCCCACTGCTATCATGGCTCCCTTCTACCAGTATATGGACACTGAGAACTTCAAGCTACCTCAAGATGACCTGCAGGGCATCCAGAAAATATATGGTAATGTTAAACATTACAGTTTTCTTTGAAATAAGTCATCAAAAAATTGTTTGCAATAATACAGTGTTCCAAAAGTTTCATAAGGATACAATGCATCACAAAACACCATACTGCACCACTCTAAAAATTTGTCACCACTGAGAATGGTGCCACATCAGTCATCCTGGGTTGGTTGCCAGTAAGCATTCTGCTGTTAACGAGGTCAGCCAATCTGCTTATTTCAAGGCAACATGAGTCAATAAACAGATTGCAAATGAGGAAAAAAATAACCATCACCCACAGAAAACATTGCATTGGTGGAAATGTGTATCGTCGAGCTAGTTTTTTAAACAGCTAAATCTTTCAAAAACAGACTTGATGTTCTGGTTTAGAGAGAACAGGTTGTAATACCGCCGTTTTTATTTATAGGACCACCAGATAAAGCTCCTCAGCCCACCAGCCCTCCACCTACAGCTCCGCCTCCTCGTTTCCACCTGCCCTCAGACCCCCGGAGACACGACCGCCATGCCAGACCCCATCGCCCTCCTCAGGGCTCCAAACCGTCTAACCCCAACTCCAAACCGAACATCTGCGATGGAGGCTTCAACACTCTGGCCATCCTCCGACAGGAGCTTTTTGTCTTTAAGGTAAACTGAAATAATAGTCAAGGAAAACTTCTTTAAAAAAAATCTTTAAGTTCAGACAATAATATTTCTACAATGTCTATTTCTGTAGGACCAATGGTTCTGGCGAGTACGGGACAATTCAGTGGTCCCAGGTTATCCCATGCCGATCAACCACTTCTGGCAAGGCTTGCCCCCTAAAATCGATGCTGTGTATGAAAACAGTGAGGGGAAGTTTGTCTTTTTTAAAGGTAATAGAAATAAATATTTATTATTTTTCTATTTAAATAAATAACTAAGCAAAGGTACTGTGGAGTAGCTCATATAAAGATACTCTGAAGTGTTTTTATTCCTTGCAATAGTTTTGGATTCTTAATAACAGTACCACATAAATCAGTGCATAATTGTATCTTGGAGGGATATTGAATCATGCTATCTGAAAATTCTGCCCTGCATTTGAGTTAAACCCCTGACTATGCCTAAAAATTCAACCCACCCTTGCTAGTAATTGCCTCTTAGAAGCCAAATAACTCATAAATACATTCCACCACAGCATTGTTCAATCTAAGAATAAAACTCAATTTATCATAATGAAATAGAGAGTCTAGAGTAGCTATTGACTGATGTAGATACGGCTGTCTACCTAAACAGACAGGCTGGGAAAGGAGAACATTAATTAGAGAAGCAGCCAAAAGGCCTATGGGAACTTTGGCGGAGCTGCAGACACGCACAGATCAGGTGGGAGATTCTGTTGACGGGACAACTGCTGGTCACGCCTTTCACAAGTATGCGGAGGGCATGATCTTCTTTCAGAAGACAGCCACAAGAGGTCTGGTTTTGAGTTAGTAACAAGCACTGTAAAAAAAAAAACACAGAAAAATTAAAGCTGCAGAGAGAAACATGCCTGTGCCTTAAACCATAAAGCTGGTAGATTCATACCTCAGAAGACTTGCATCCACACTTGCAGCAAAAGTTGCACAAATTCTGGACTGTGGTTGCTTGATATGCACTCAGTACTTTTCTTTTTTTTAATTTATTGTTACTATTAAAATTTGAAAACACTGTAATTTCCCTTTCATTTCCCAGACTTCTGATAAATTATCACACAGAATTGTAAAGATAATACATAAAAATATGCGGTTACCTTAAAAGAGTGGTGCATTAAACTATTGATATATAAAAAAATATCTTCCAAGATATTAATTAACTATGAGCCCTTAAGCATGCTGTATCCGTTCCACTACATGAACTTTTGCAGACTTCTCTATGGTCTGAGAATTTGTGTAGGCCCTGAAAGACACCCGTCATCAGGCTGATTAACATGACATCTATCACTCAATGGTATCGGAGTGCCTCATGCTTTATTTATTCACTGACATGAATCAAACCATGTGTGTATTTTTGAGTGAGTACATGTAAGCATCTAGCCACCTAGCACTCACACATGCACACTGCACCACAGCAGCTTCCCCGCCTCTGCCTTATGATCAAGCTGAATTAAATGCAGGAATAACTTCAGTAAGACTCAAATAACAAGACTCAGCAGGGTTGCCTTTAGGGCATCGTAACACTTGGATTTTGTGCTGAACAGATCATTTTTAAACAAATTTATGAAACATCTGGTCTGTGAAATTCTTAGGAAGAAAAATAACTGACGAAGACGGGCATAAGTGAACAGAAATATGGCAGTTTTTTTTTGTTTAGCATGCTTTCAGGCTATTGTATACACTAACTTTTTTCCGTCGCTGTAGGAAACCGTTTCTGGGTGTTCAAGGATCGGCATCTTCAGCCTTCCTACCCTCAGGATATCTCTTTGTTTGGGAGCGGCATGCCAACACAGAGTATCGAGACGGCTGTCTGGTGGGAAGATGTGGCCAAGACATACTTTTTCAAAGGAGACAGGTTTGTTTTGATTATTAGTCAGTGAAGCTTTGTCTTTTCCGTAACCAACCAACATATATATATATATATATATATATATATATATATATATATATATATATATATATATATATATATATATATATATATATATATATATATATATATATATATATATATATATATATATATACTCAAAGCTGGGATTTACTGATAGAAATTTAATATATTATAGATTAGTATGTTATTAGTTAGAATTCACAAACTTAAAGTCTCAATCTTATGTTTGCATTATCATAGAAATTGCCGTTTACAATTACATAGGGGCAGGTCTCCATTTGTGGAAGCAGAGATGACAATCTATTGACAAAAGAGATCGCCATTATGCTCAAATGTGACGGTTGCAAGTATAGAGTAACAGCTGTAACTTTACTACATTCAGTGTCTAGAGCTGTATATAAAACATGTTTAATCAGGATTATTGCACAGACACCAGAATAATTTTTATTTTTTTTTCTCTGGTTCCTTTAGACCCTGCTAAAACGACAGCTTTGCCTATTATTCTGCCTTTCCCTTGTCTAATAGCTCCCATACCATAGTCAAAACTTTGACTTGGACTCTGTAAAAGGGGAATAAACATGTTTCCAACCAACATGATGTCACTATTAAACTAAACAACTACAATTACTCAGTCTGTTTATATCAATATACGGAGAAGCTTACTTAAACATGGCAATTTAGCAAAAATAATGGGGTCTATATAAAATCTATATCCTTCACAGATTATCCATCCTGCTTTTTACCGTCATGCTTATCCCTTCTTGGGTCGCGAAGGGTGCTGGTGCGTATCTCCAGCTGTCTATCCGCAAGATGTGGGGTACACCCTGGACAGGTCGCCCGTCAATTGCATGGCAAGACAAAGACAAACAGGAAAATTACGCACACACTAACACCTAAGGAAAATTTAAAAGCAGCATACTAATTGAACAATCAGGTTTTTGATTATGAAGTACCCAGAGAGAACCTATGCATGCCCAATGAGTACATGCAAACTCCTTGTAGAAAGACCCAGGAATCAAACCCAGAACCTTCTTGGTGCAAGGCAGCAGTTCTACTCACTGCCCTATTTATAACAATGCCTTTATTGTTACTTGACAAGATCGGTTATGCAAAATCAAATTTTTTTCAAGAATCCAAGAGTTATGCATTTTGACTTATTTTGTCACCACTCTGTGGTACCATTTTAATTTAACCTCATAAAAAATAATTACCTTTATACATTCCTCCGGCAATGGAAAGCTCTGTGTTTACATTTGTAAGCTTTCTGTGCCTGATTCTCTCCTGAGGAGAAATCACCTTGAACAAAGACTAACGAATAACACTTTATAATTTACATGTTTTAAAATAACTATGACACATGACAATAGGTTTAACAGGAATTGTAGTCTTAACAAGACCAGATAAAAAAGGCAGCTCTTACCACTGGGCTCGCTTCTTCAGAAAGCGCAGAATAACAGTTAAAAGAGCATTTCATACATCTCCAGGGTCACATCATACACACGTTTATAAACGAGGATCCTTCACTGTCCCCAGCCATATCAAAATATTACAGTGTTTTTAGATCAAGGATAGTCTGAATGCACAGTGATAGAGTTCTCTGTTGAGAATAATCCACTCTGTTTGGGAAAACATTACCTTTGTAATGTAACAGGCATATAGTATTAGGGTTTAACAAGCACATACATAAATCATAAAAAATAATCCTGACATTCCCAGGGGCGGAGCTAGGTTGGGGGCCAGGGGTGGCCATGGCCACCCTTAGCCAATCATTAGACACCCCTGTGGCCACCCTACCATTTATATCCCTCAAATACAGATGGTGGCAGCAGTAATACTCTCAAGTGGAATGTTTTAACTTATTTAACATTTGGTTAGCAGTGGTTTATTATACACATCAATATACTAACATTAAAGATTATAAATACAGAATACATGCTCTTTTCAGAACTAGATTTTGTCTTATATGGAGTAAAGAGAAAATAATGTATACAAGTCATCTAGGAATTATAACTGAAATCGGAGATAAATAACTACTTTAATAATAAGTAATCTATTTAATATAGATATTAGTACATGTAAATGTTAATTTTATGCAGAATGATTATCAATAAAAGTAGGTAAGTAATGACAATGAATAAGATGTTCGCCCCAGAACTCAAAACTGAAAGAATTTTGTCCACTACACCTTTAATTTATACAGCTTGGGTGTTGAAATATATGCACCTATTTGTTAGCAAAGGCTGCAGGAAGGTATAGTTTGTCTTTACCTTTAGAAAATATGGATGTTGTGATTGTTCATTTTCCTTTTGGAACAGAGTAGAGTGACCCTGAGGTTCTGGCATCTATCTGCTTTTGGCTACCCCTCAGTGTACATTGGTTATTGCCTGGCCACCCTTATTAACATTTTCTGGCTACGCCTCTGGACATTGCAAACCAGGATCCAATTTTTGGATCAACAACATGGTTACATGTTTCTATTTTAACCACAGGTGTGACACACAGCTTGAACATTTTTGTGAAACATAGTGCCTTTAACTACTTTGTTAAACTTTTTTTGATGGAACAGGTGTTAATCTGGCTGAAACGGACCAATACTTATTTTTGGAATACCTAAATAAGAGAATCTGTTGTTTATCTATGTGCGTCAGAGCAGCCTTACAGTATGAGAATATGCCAGTCTGACTCACACCTTCAGCTGTTGAGATAAATCATATCCTCAAGGCTAAAAGACCCCTAGATGGGAGCTGACAAAACCTGTTGTCAGCGCAATCCACAGATTAGTACATTTCATTAAGGGAATGTTGTCCTAATATTTTTAGGACATTTTAAGTTGGATCTATCTCTCAGCAGGGAAGATGTGTGACAGAAGTTAACATGTGAGGAGCATGGCAGTCATGATATAATGGCCTGAGGCTAATGAGCATTGGAGATGTGCACGGCTTGATGACCGATTAATTGTGTTTTCCAGTCATGTGAAAATGCTTGTTTGGTCACTAAGTACTCTGAATAAATGTGAAAAAACATATCATATTTCCACTATTTAAACAGATCTTTAAGAGAAGCGAACAATCAGGCCCCATAAATCCTATAAGTTCATACATTAAGCATTTATCACTAAACTTTCAGTTTAATTTCCCATATAGAAACAATCATAGTCCATTCTACCAGGTGAAGTCTGTTATTAAGGAATGAACTATGCACAGATTCTCATTTAAACTTAAAGCTTAGATTAGCTTCCAGCTCCTCACTAAGCTCTACATCAGTATAAATCTATATTAAATATAGATGGTAGTTTTAACAAAACATCCTGTAGCAATCCGATAAAACCTGTAAAAGCGCATATGAAATTCTAACATTTATTCTTTTTCCTTTATATACTAAAGTATTAGTAAATAAAAGATAATGAAATCAAGTTTTGTAGGATAATCTCTTTATGCTAAATTACTTAACACATATAGAGGGCAGTGTACACAAGAGATTTGTTTTTTCTTTTTATTTGATTACTCCTCATATGTGCACATTATATCTTTGCCGTCTATGCAGTCACCGCCCGATTGCATTCCAAAAGCATTGCAAAGAGTATGAAGATGCAAGCAAATTTTTAATTCGGAAAATTATCTTACATATTTTTATCTGGTTGCTTTGCTGTTTTTAGGGAGAGCACATAAGGGAACTGGGAAATTCATTATGTGATAATAAATGTCTCAAAATATCTGTTCCTATATTTTAGATGTAAACGTCTGTGAATTTCAATGTGAGAAATTACACAGCAAATATGCTTTACTTACACAACTACAGTAAATATTCACTCACAAATAATTTATTATATGTTTGTAATGAATTAATTATGAAACCACAGATATTTTGAAACATATCTATTCTCATACTGTACAGATTTGTTATATACTTCTTGTTCTAATTTCTTTTTTATTGTAACAGATAAAATGTTTTTGTGTCTCTTTGTGAAAACAGATCATTTGTTCATATTTGATCAAAAAGCAACAGGATTCAAATTCTCTAACCCCTGGTATTTATAAAATTCTTGTCTTTTAGATACTGGAGGTACAATGAAGAAATGAGGACAATGGATCCAGGATACCCAAAACCTATCACCATCTGGAAGGGCATCCCTGACTCTCCACAGGGAGCTTTTGTTGATAAAGCAAATGGTATGTACTGTAGATTGCAATAAATATTATAACCTCTCAAATCTACATTTAATAAATCTTAGACTTTATCTATTTCTAAGGCCAGAGCACACCGAATCCAATTTTGCATCTCATCCGACAGAAAATTGTGTCAGACGAGGTCATGGCGTTTTTTAGAGGTCAATAAAAGTCAATGGGATGATCACACCCGACACCATTTTACACACACAGTAATTCAGCTACAATTTCATGGGTCTGACAGGAAGAGAGACGTGGTTACAAATTAAAACACATATGCTTTGGGGGAAAATACAAAATAAAATCTGTTAATCTCAAGGCGAAATAGTCCGTTTTGCAGTCGCACATCGCGTATGTAGCAAGCAGGATGGGCTCGCGCAAAAACATCAATCAATGAAACATTAGAAAACAATACTTTAAACATGATAGGAGGACAGAAAACAGATAAAAAATGGATCCTCTATTTACAAAACAAAAGTAGCAATCCATAAAAAAAAATAAGGAGAGGCAGGCAGAGCAGGTATACAGCAGCATATCTCTCACCTCTTTATAAAAAAAAAGGAAAAAGAACTTCGACAAACTTCACAGATCTCTCTCTGAGAATCACCTCTCAGCATAGAATCAATCACACTGCATTTCTTGCTGCATTTTCCTTTCCTCTGATGTAGATCTCATAAAATTTTTAATATAGGTATATGAACATCTGTTCTGGTTTGAGATGCTACGCAGACTCGTTTAGTGGGTTTTGCCTTACAGAATATGCCACAGATTTTTAAATTTTTTAAAATAACTTTTCATAATCTTTACAAGCCAAATGTGGGAAAGTGTTTTAATTTTTGTAAAGCACCGAGACAGAACTGGAAAAAAAAAAATCTGTTCAGATCTGCCCACCCTGCTTTGTCAGAGCCTCTCTACGCAGTCTGTGTGACAGGGGAAAAAAAATCGGATCGGAGATTAAAAAGTTGTAACCAACCGGTGTGTTTGTTTAGGCCTTAGTAGTTGATATCGGATTATCAGGCTTTTTGAGAACTGAGACCCCATATTGGGTTTCATGGACAACAAAGGAAACTTAGAGGAGCACTCGATGCCCAATGTTAATTAGAGTAGAAGAACTGTGATGCAGATATTTCCTAATCTCTCTATAGATACATAGATTATCCTTGATCTGTAATAAAGTGAGTACAGCATAAAGCCACATTTCTTTCCCATATTGAATAAGTCATTTATTTATACCTATAATTTACATACATATTTTAAATGTGATGTAAACCATGGAGGGCTTGTTATCTAGATGAGAGAACTGTGATGGTTAGGAAATATAAAATATTATGTTATATGTGTGAACTATGATTGGAACCCGAAGTGAACAAGCACACTGTGGGATCCAATGCTTTTGATGTCGTCGGTGTATCATTAAAGTTTAATATGAATTAAAATTGAATGTCTAAAAGGGATTATGATGCAGTCTGGCTGCGATCCCCCCCCTCCCCGTCTGTGCTGTAATTTTCCCCTGCTTTAACAATGACTGTACACATGGGTCAAAGGGACCAAACTTTTTCCTGTCAAGTATTTTATTTTTTTTTTACAGATCACAACCTTTCAATGGAAATTGAAGTATGCAGGTTTTCAAGCTGTGTTTATAAGCAAGGCTTATAAATAAGGATCCAGAATATTTTCATTTAAAGCTCTGGTGGCGTTTGTCAGAAAACAGCAAAACTGTCGTCAGTGATTCTCAAAGATGACTCTCGGAACAGAAAATTATTGACCAGATACACAATCAACCTTTTTTAATTGTCATCACTGTTTCCTAATACCTTTTTGACGCTCCTGCCTTTTGAACACATATAAAAAGACATAATGCTATACTATACTGTATGCAAAGAAGGGTTGTTTTAACAAATTAACGCACAGGGTTTCAATAATTTGGACAAGAGTACTGTTGTTAATACAGTAAATGACCTGTACTTATATATAGTTGAGGGTTTTTAAGTCCGGAGAATGGGCGCTATGCACAACTCCACTACTTCCTGAATGTAAGGCAGTTCTTTTGTTTCCTGTCTTTCTCCACTGGATAGGTGTGAGGTGTGGATGCTGAAGTCAGGCACACCTGAAGTAATCAGTTCATCCAGTAGAAAAATACAGGAAACAAAAGAGCTGCCTTAAGTCCAGGAAGTAGTGGAGTTGTACATAGAGTCCATTGACCAAAGTGCTTTACGCTACATTTAGTAATTAGCCCATTCACACACACGCTGATGGTGGTGAGCTACATTGTAGCCACAGCTAGGCTTGAACTACCAAGGCTTTGATTGCAGGGCAAACTCCTGCAGCCGACACCACTGTCGTCCAATTGAACCTAATCTTGTGAATGTTTTTCTTTTATCCATCTCACAAACTGTGGGGCGTGTTCTCATGCTGTGGCAGAGACCAAACAAAGTCAGCAGTTAAATGAGAGTGGGCAGCGTGTCGAGGCCACCCGCATGGCCAACAATTTATACACTGAATCCCTTTTTATGATCTGACTATTAAAGCCTACAGAGGAAACTGCTTTAAATGGAGGAAAGGTCCTTTTACTTGTCGGGTAATTGTAAGGGATTGTATGGGAAAGAAAATAAATAATATTCACTTCTAAAAATTGCACATTCTAGGTCCTTCATAATTAAAAATGAAGCATTAAAAATAAGAGAGTAGATCTGCAAAAGGCTGGCGATTATTTGAAGCTTAACTTTATATTTTACATCTTGTATTCAAATTTTATATTTTTAATCTCATTATTCTCATTCTTGTTTTCTATTAAAACAATTTGATGTGTTTATAAAGCCTCAGCTGTACTATTTATACATTTTTTATGCAGTTTAAAACAGAGAGCAGAGCTTTAACTTTCTTTCTTTTTGCATTTTTATTTCTCTAATCTTTTTAAATTTATAAGATAAATATTACAGAATTTCACATGTCAGCTAGAAAACTGAAATGACATCATTAAATCAACAGTAATGAGTTACACATTCAATCCTAATACTAAAAACAAGTTTTTTAACCATTATTTTTTTATTACCCTTCCAGGTTTCACTTACTTCTACAAAGGAAAGGAATATTGGAAATTTAACAACCAGCTTCTCCGTGTGGAGCCTGGCTACCCTAGATCTATCCTGAGGGACTTCATGGGCTGCGACGGCCTTCCAGCCGACCCTGACTGGGGCTGGAATCCTCCTGCGGCTGATGAACGGCACTGCGACAACAACGACGTGGATGTCGTAATCAAACTGGACAGTGTAGGGGGTACAGAGAAGGCTGTGGCCATTGCTATTCCCTGCGTCCTGGCCCTATGCATGATGGTCCTTCTCTACACTGTTTTCCAGTTCAGGAGAAAGAGCACGCAGCGGCACATACTGTACTGCAAGCGCTCCATGCAGGAGTGGGTCTAAAGGGACTATTGCTGTATAGAGACATGTGTGGAGCTCTCACAGAGGCCTAGTTGTTGCCTAAAGCCCTATAATTAAAACTGTAAAGAAATACAGTACAAGGGTTGCAGCATTTTGGCAGATCTCAGAACCCCTGGAACTTGACATGTGAGCTGCAAGGGAGGAAAACTATCAGCTGACCTCAGTCGAAGACAGTGGCCGAGCTTAATCTTCTTTGTCCTACTAATCTGTATGTATCTGCTTTGATTTTTCTTTAGAGACAGAAACAATGTTCCGAAAGTGGGATCTTTGTTAATCCCTATCTCTGCACGCTGCTTAAAAAGCCCCTAGCACTAACTTCAGAGGACAAATTAAATCTAGGCTTCTACTCTTCTTAAATCAATCGTCCTGGGTTCTTTATTTTTTTCTTTAGTCTAGGAGACAAAATTTATCGTGAGGAGATCAGAATATTATATATAAACCAAATATGACCTTTTCTTCCAAAGAGGAATACAACTTGATGTTGTTACAATCGGATATTCTTCCTCTGTGGATCTAATGTTATGGATTTTCTTTCGCTGTTACCATTCACACTTACTCATCCTCTCTGTAAGGACAACAAGAAGGAGCAGAAGAAACTCATGACTGGTGTGGCAGTCTGTCTTCTCAACAAGGCCAAAATAATGAAAAACAAAAAAAAACAAAAACCACTCTGCAATATCAATGAGACTGCCTTAATCACAGATTGCTTCAATCCTTTCTCCTTCTGTTTCACCGGTGTGGAGGAGGGATCATTGCTACTGCCCAAGATCAGCTTTCACTTGCACCCTAACAAGAGACAGAGAGGGGAGATCTGATATTAGTCTGTTTGTATGTGTGAAAGAATGAATAATCACCCTTATTTTGTAAGTGCTGAGCTCTGCTGTTATTTATCATTTTCTATGTTGCTTCACTTATTTTAAACCACTTTAACAACTTTTTCCTCAAAGTGTGCCAAGTAAGGCCATACGTAGGCATGGGCCGGTTACCACTATTGAACTTTACACCCCTCCAATGGTTGCTAACTAAAAGAGGGCTACTAAATTTTCCTTTCAACAAGAAAAGCATCTGTAAATTTGGCTGCTTAGAAATAATTCTGGTTGAAAAACAAATTTACAACCTTGGCATTGGAACTGAGGGACCACCCCATTCACTATTATCAATCTAACAATGTCCTGAAACTTAATCCACTGTTCCCCTTACAGAAGTGGAATCTAAACTTTTTAATAATAACAGAGTGGTTTATTTTGTCATTTTACCTGCTAAACATTGACAAAAATCGTCCACCATCTTGGTGTCCATATGCCTCCACTGCATGTGGTGATAGGATAAATTTATGCTACTCTTAAAAGGAAAGTTGAGGCCATACAAATTCCTTACAACAGAAACAAATTACCCACAGGCTGCACTTTAGACGCCACTCGCTTAAGGGCAGATTAGACTTCTGCAAACGCACACATCAAATGTCGCAAACCAGTTTTCCTGTTATGCTTCTGCACCGTCGTTCTGGAATTTCTAGGGACGCACAGAACTTTCCCACCAAAGTGCAAAGGAGAGCCTAGTCGAGAAGCGAGAACTTCGGCGGATAGTCACAAACACTTTGTTTTGACAGAGACCTTGGTCTTTTTGATAAATTGTCTGAGGCATCATACAAATGGTTGTACTTCTGAACCTCCTTGATTAACCTTTCGTCGTAGTTGTCCATTGTAGTTGTTCCTCTGTTTGGCGCCCCTGCACCGAATCAGGAAGGACCGACCACACAGACAGCCGGAAAGGCATACCAAGGACCAATCACAGCTGCTTTTTGTCAGGGCACTTCCTCTTGAGGTCTGCTCGGGTTTGCGACCGTCCGACACGTAGTCAGGGTTCTTTTGAGGTGCGTGACCACGCCCCTGCAGAGGTTCTGCAACCGTTGTCACACAGAGACAGACTTGACTGTTGCAGAGGCTATGTGCCAAAAGCATAAATTGGCTTTTAGGCTGCTGCAGACTAAAGGCCAGGTCACATCACTTGCGTCTGGTGCTGCAAGCTTATCATTTTTGTCCCAGTGTCCCACAAATTGAAGAAATGTCTGTCTATAAATATGTCTATGTAAATTCAACATCCATTTTTAGATGTAAAAAAACACATAGCTGTAAAGCAGTCATAATGTGGGTGACCTGGCCTTAAGATGTCTTCATTAGGTCGGTGCATAACGAATAAGCCCTGCTGCATTTCTCCCGTTGTATCTGCACTATACACATTTGTGGAAAGTACAGAAAAAAATAAAAGGCTTGTTAGCAAACATCACAACTCTATGGTTAAACTTCCAGCATTACTCTTACTCTACAAAGAAAAGAATGGCAAAAGGTGTAATATTTTATGCAACATATTTCTAGTGAAAATGTTGAAAGTTAGATCTAAGGGATGTTTATTTCATAAATGTTTAAAGTATATAGAACTTGATACATGCAGCTCTGGAAAACAATTAAGTGCGATTTAATTAAAAATCATCATCTCTACACATGTGAGCTAGTCCATCATTTTTTATATAGACCAAACATACATCATTCTAGCTCACAACGTAAGGTTTCAGTAAGCACCTAAACCCTTTAGAAAGACTCATGGAGAGCATCACTGGACACTTAAAGCTGTATTTAAAAATCAGAGTTATTTTAGTAATTATGGATTTCAAATCTAGCTAAAGATAAAAAAAAAAACATTAGTGTCATTTTTTTAACCCAAATAGAAAGAAAAAAATCTAATTTTTATTAGCTAAAAAAAGATTGTTTTTCTGATATTTGAGATTTTTATGGAAATTAATGTATTCAAAAAAAGTGTTTTTATTTTATCAGTATATTATTGAATAAACCAAAACTGTTCACTTTACTCAAAAAGCACAAATATTTTCAAAAGGTAAAAGATATGTTTTTGTTTCTTTTTTTCTCTCAAATTGTTTAAGTTGTTAATAATGCTTCATACCATTAATTAAAAAAAAAAAGAAACTGGTTCATTTGCTGTATTTCCCCCCCCCAAATCTCTAAACCCAAAATGGTGAAAACAAGATATTTTCACCAAATGTTCTGCAACCGGCCCATGCCTAACATGCAATAGGTGCACAGTGGAATAGGAAAGGGGCAAACTGTACCTAGAGTGTTTAATACCAGAGGCAATTTCTGTTAGATATTTATCTTCTTACAAAGCTTTGCATCTACATTTTTTTCTGGATTCCACTGCTTTTAAGGTGAAGTGTTTCTAAGCTTTAAAGAAGCATAATCCATAGTTCTTTTATTAGCTTAGTAACGGCTGGATTTTGGGGTGTTAATAGAATTTCAAACCAATATTGCCTGTGTTTCTGTTTTATACACTGTAATCACCAAATCATTGTACAAACAAAGATGCATTTGGTTCATGAGGTTAACAAATAACTAATAAATCTTTAGATCAGCTTATATATTATTTGAGTTAAATGGCTTATTCTAAAGCCAAAACCAATAAGGTTAAATCAGTTAAATGCAATTCTGAATATCTATTAAGAACCACGACATTTACTATATTCTGTACACACATATATAAACAATACAGCTCTTCATGTAAATGTTATAATGTTCCAACTATCTTTACTAATCAAACTAATGTGGGAAAACATAAACTCTGTTGTAAAATGGGGTTAAAATGAGAAGGATCTGGATTTTCTTTTGCAACTTTTTCAGGTCATGTGTACAGGTGCAGCTGGTGACACAGGAATTCTTGTTAAATGTCTTATTTTATTAAAAGTTTTTTGAATATCGTATATCGAGGATTATCATGTAGGCTATGGAGAGCCACACGGCAAAACAAAAATAGAAGATGTAAAGATCTGCTCCCCTTGGTTTAGGTGAAATGGATTTACAAAAATGTTTTTGTTCATTTATATAGAATAGAATAGAATAGAATAGAATAGAATAGAATAGAATAGAATAGAAAATCCCTTTATTCTCCATCAAAGAGGAAATTCTGGTGTTACAGCAGCAAAAAGGCTATAGCAAAAGTGGTCACACTTGTTTGATATGTTTAAGTAGGTATGGATTAATTATTTCCTCATCATACTTGGTAATATTTACTGTGGTGGCCAGAAAACATTTAAAAATTCCTCAAAATTTGTTTGGCAGCAGATGTCTGTGATTCAATCATAACCAAGGCTCCACCAAAATAAATACTAGTCTCTAATAAACATTAGAAATTAGGCTACCTCAGGACACCAGCTAGATGAAGGAGTCTAATTTTAGAAGTCTGCCAAACATAAAAATAACCATGTTTTACCCATCTTCCAACATAATATGTACTGATGCTCTTATAAAACCTACAGTGGGAACTCAAACAGGGCTGTAGATTCATGTCACCATATTTAATGAAGGTAACTAGTGACAAATGCTAAATGTTCCTAAACTTCAGCTTATCAACATTTGATAAAATATTTATTTTTAGCTTTATTTAGAATTTCTTGTTTGTGAGGTATGATGATTTTCTTTTGAACTATTCTATAGGTAAGAAGGTATTTTGACATTTAGTTGGTGTCTCCAACTAAGTGGAAACATTTCGAACAACAGATTTTGTGATGCCTTGCAAAATATATTACATTCCATGCAAGCTGAGTATTTTCAACATTTTATTTTTTTCTTCATCTTTCTCAGTACCCCACATGCATCTCCATATCCTCAACTTTATTTGTTTACCTTGAATCTGTTTTCTGACAATGCCTGGTGTCACTGTGCCACATGCATACTGCAGCATAAACACTACAGTATCTTTAATAGTGCTGCTTGCGCTGGTGTGAACCCACATCATTTATAAAAAGAGACCATTTTCTTCATGTAGTCTACACCCTAAGATGTATGTTACAAAATCCCTCACCAAAATCTGTTTGATGGATTGCAGCAATTTAAAGACAGCATATATACAGTACTACTATATGTACATTAGCTCAATTTAAACAAAGTTCATGATGGTGCGATGCCACTTTGCATTAATGACTTGAAATAAAGATAAACTCGGCACTACACTAACAAACAGTTTAATGAACTTTCACTCACCCTAACATGCCAAATGCTCTTCATTTAGGTATATATATATTTTTTTTTTATTTATTTTTTTTTTTTAAACTGATGTTTAATGTCCTGATGCAGGAAAACAATGAATTCCACACCATTAATTCTTAGATTTTTTCCCACTAAATCTACTTTGTTTAGACTACCATAACAAAATAAAATAAGGGAATAGTTTAAAAATACTTGCACATCATTTCTAAAGCCGAGGGAACGGACCTTTCTCTTTCTGGTTTTTGTTTGAAGCCCTGGTGGCTTTGCACTTTACACCTATGTTATATGTTTGGTTGATTATTTGGGATTTCTTAAATATTTGTGTTTGTTGATTTTGTTCTGTTTTTCAGCTGTACAGTAAATCTAGGAATGTTTTTATTTCATGTTAAGGTGGAGATGTTTTAAAGCACATCATAAAAGCAAATCATAAACTCAAAATGCTTTCTTATATCTGTTATCTATGGGAGCCCTGAGTGAACTGTGGCTGATGAGTTCAGCCTTTTTGTTATTGACAAAAACTAGCATTCAGTAAAAGTCAATGCATACAGATTTTAATTAAGACGACATTTTCCTACCATCAGTCGCTCTTCTATGACCTTTATCTTTTGACTAATTTGATAGATATTTGAAACTTTTTTAAAGCTCTTCTTAGTGCCACTTAAGTCTTGAACATTAAATTCTATAAACATTT